AGCTTTGGTGCTTGATCTTCCTGCGGTGTCCTCAGCAGACTCCTTCCGCCTCAGATACTTTCTCAACCCTGCAGGCGATGAAGCATGGCATCCACAAGCAGGACCTCTCACGTCTTGGGCGAGCATCTGACTTTGCCATGGACACTCCTCATCATCTGATTCTACGTCTGCCCAGCCTCGGGACAGAGCACATGACTACTCTTGCACCTTCTGCAGCCTGTTAAGGCATGTCAGTACATTTCCGAGGCTCAGAATCGTCAGCAACCTCGCAGCTACAGATCAACTTTCTCAGTCTGCGGCGCGTTTTCAATGACATCTGCCGTTCCTCCTGTGAGCAGAATCAGGCAGTGCGGGTCTTCTGGACGAAGCCGATCATGCGCCGAAACAGCATGAGCGAGTTGCGGCAGCTACTACCAACCCTTCATTCCTGGCAATCCAATGACGCAGCTGAAGTTGAGCGCTCAGCTCTGGCCTGCAAAATCAACTCTTCTTCTCAGACGCCGCAGAAGCTGAGATGTGCTATGAAGTTGCAACGCTTTTTTGGAGACACAAAGTCGGGTGAAACATCATCGACCAAAGTCGTATCCCTCCCAATTGCGCCATGCAGGCACTCTAGGTCCAGAGAATCGATCTGCATATCCCTCGGGCACCGTTGCAGCAACCAATGTCTCAGCTTCTTGGCGTGGAGCGATTGCGCGGGACAGCGCTTGCACAAAGCCAGCAACATTCTCCAAGTGCGCATAGTGCCCTGCCCTATCTACGACCTGAACGCACACCGTCCGTGGCCGCATCTCGGAAGATCTTTGCTCCGAGCAAGCTTCCGCCACTCGATTACCATGCCTCATGTCCATCCAGTCACGCACACCATAAATCATCTCGATGCGGGTAACGGGAATTTGCGGAAGTCTCTGCGAAAGGGGCTTCTTGCCCCATGCACCTGGATGTAGAAGGGCTGCAATGGCTCCCTCCGCACTTGCTGGTCCCTCTCTCCAGCCATGGTATATGTAGTCTGCAAGTGCTACAGGATCAGCAACGGAGAGTCCTTCATCTTGTGCCTGGTTTCCGCTCCACCGTCTCGCATTCCAGGTGCAAATTCTGTACGCGTACTTCTGTGGCAGGAGCCGCAGTGCTGTGAAGGGATTCCAGCCACGGCGCCAGAGTGCCATCGCAAGACGGACTCGCCTCGATGCATTGCGGAGCTTTTGCTGATAGTCATCTGGCTCACCTATCATACCTGCTGGCGACACCAGAATAAGCTTCCTCACATGACTGGGGTAGGACTCGGCATACACTGCTGCAACATTGCCACCAATACTGTGGCCCAACAGGTCCATCTGCTCAATCCCGCGAGCACTGCGCCAGGCTTCCAAGCTCTCAACGAACCATGCTTCGGCCCTTTCCGCGTCTGTACCAGGCGTCCATTTTGGGTGGCTGGACAAGAAGAAGCCCAGCAAGTCTAAACCTATTAGCGGCATTTCAGAGCACAAGCCGTCTTCAAGATCAAGGAGATGGGCCCAGCATTGTGCGAAGATAGCTGCGCCAGTCCCATAACCTGGCAGGAATACTAGAGGCACGCTGCCCTCGGCTGAGTCTGAGCACATGGGCACAACCTCCACGGAGTGTAGCGTCAAATCGCAACCATTGTGATGCTTGATTAGCGTATCATGTTGCTTGAATTCACGTGCAAGAATTTGCATCAATCGCGTTTCTGCCTCCCTTAAACGAGGCAAATTCGGACGGGCGCCGCGTGCATTGGAGATGCCGCTGCCCATCTGGTCGCGTCTGGCTTTGGGCGCGAGATCAGAGCGAGATCACCTGAATCCAGAGAAGCAGCATTGGAATTGTCTTCCAGCCCATAGTGTCTAGTTAGCAGGACTGGGCAACAAAGCTTTCAGGCTCTTGAACCGATGCAGCTTGCAAACCAGATATTCGCAGAAGGGCTTCTACACAAAGCCAGCATGGAGCATAAATCCGTAGCTGAATCCCTTCAAGCATACTGCTTTGCGGCCTGATTGGCATCATCAATTTTCGCATCCAAGTCCGCATCTGCATGGGCGGTCCCTTCCGGAGCCTCTCAGAAGCTGCAGAGAGCTGGCATGCGCAGGATGTGCAAGACGGAAGGTCAAAGGATGCCCCTGGGCGCCTGTGAAGGCTTGGACACCTGGATGTCCTCGCCAGATCCACTCGAGGGGTCCTGCCTTTGGAGAGGGCAAATCTTCATCTAGCATTGCAGTTTTCAAAGAACCCTGTGAGCAGCCCGACTCCATATCGGAACCATGTGAGTCGGTGGCAGACGTTGACCTGAAATTAGGAGCTTGGGGGAACTGCGGGCATTTCTTGGGTCCTGAGCATGAGACAGCTCCTTCTCGCTCGCTGGCTCCTCCTGATCATCATGTCAGCTTCTTCGAAGGTGCGAGCAAAGGCGGGGTGGCCTCCTTGATAGCCAGCTCTGGCTGCCACGCACGCTTCAAGGCAGCTGCACTGCGGACCTGCTTTCTGGCAGACAGCATGGCTAACGTCCTCGGAATCTGTAAGGAGTCTCTCAGGGCAGCCTATGTCCAGCAGAGCGGCTTCAACCTAACCCGACATTGCTTCCTAACAGCTTTGCCTGGCTCTCAGACTTGGCAGACTTGTTCGACTCTTTCGACTTGGACACCTGCTACGTACAAGCAGTCAAGGCAAACATCACATGTACTGAAGAAAAAACGGAAGTCCGTTCCATGCATAAGCCTGTCCACGTCCAGGCTCCAAGGACAAAACCTGGAGCACTGGGTGGCGTTCACAGCTTGGCCCTGAATGGAATGCCCGCTCCAAGGCCAGGGCCGCAAGCATCTGCGCTGCGGAGGCCGGAACTTTGTCGAAAGGGGATCCAGGCACCTGCACTTCAGGATACTTCAGGTGAGGCAGAGATAAGCAGAGGCCAAACCCAAACGCGCAAACACACCTCTGGCAGGGGCCGCGAGATGCGACTCTTCGGCTTTTCCGCCTTCGGCCAACAGGGGCCTTGGGCACTCAGCGTGCATTATGCTTGCATTCTTGAGTATTGCTGAGCCAGTGACGCAGGATTATGTTTCCACCTGCACTGCAGGGAAGGCTCAGAACTTAAGAAGCTTAAGGTTCTTGACCAAGAGGATACCAGTGGTGACCCATGACGATGACGACGACGATGATTGATGATGGTGATGATGATGACGCATGGACACCGCCAAGACCGGCCAAAAACGTTTTATTTACATTACCCCTGCTATCCACCAGCTTCTTCGTCAAGCAAAAAGGCAAGCCCTGTGTTTAGAATTTAGACACAAACTCCGAACAGACTGTTACCTTGCCAAAAGTCGCTGTAAGATGTTGCATGTGCAATCAGAATACCTCTTGCCTCTCACATTATGGCCGTCGGGTAAGACTTTCGAGCAAAGCCTACCTATACTGGCCCAGATGTCGAAGGGATCACTCAAGCTTTCTTGGTTGCTCTGGAAGAGCCCAAGACACAATGATTCTTACTCCAAAGTGCTAAAGTTGTAGGAAAGCTCCACAAGGCTTTGCTACTTTCAATGCCCCATCCACACTTAGTCTTTGTGGATCACCTTGGCTTGGGCGCCAAAGGAACCAGTCTGGCTCCGAACGCTCTTCAAATGCAACATTTCCCAAAATTGGGGGCACCCTACTTCTGGGGGTCTCATAATAAGCGCTATAGTATTTGGGGTTCTATATTGGGGTCCCCCTATTCAGGGAAACTACCACATATGCCTGTTTTGCTCTGTGTCTCCAAAGAGTTGCCCAAGCAGATTCACATCAGCGTGGGCTCCGAGTCAGGGGAGACCAATGTGTTGATAAGTCCGGGCCCTATTCCTGAACCTTGGGAATCTCTGCAAATTTGTCTGGGCCGTGGACAACAAGATGGGAGAGCAGTGCCGGGTGCCGACAATATCTTCATGCCTGCCCCTCGAAAAAAGCACATTAGGTGTAAGATGTGTAAGAGATCTCCCGAGATCAGCTCCGAGAAAAGCTGTCCGTTCTCCCTTACACAGGACTGCCCCGAAAACATATGTGCTACACTTGCAGCAACTATGTCGTACATGCACTGATAAAGCCTGTAAATCAGAAATCTGCAAAGTATGGCTGCCACATGCTGCCACAGTAGGGACAGTCCTGTGCCAAAGCCTCACATTACTGGCCAGGGTTGTTCGACTTGCCAAATGTGTTAATGTGGAGCAAGCTGTAGTCTTGCAACCCTGGGCATGCAAACTCATCCTGGCACACCAAAACGAGGCTGGCTTCTCTCAGGCATTGAGGTAGGAAGTGGTGTCCTGAGAGAACAACTGCGAGTTGTCTGCGGAATAGACCAGTTGGGAAGGGAGGCTTAAGGCTTCCCCCTGCTTCAGGCGTATCGATACATGCGTTCAACTTTCACCGAAAGAACAGCAGCAGCAAGCTGCAGAAGCAAGCAGCGGCAGCGATACTAGAAGAAGCTGAGAAGTTCTCAATCTGCCCAGGCATTTCGCCGATGTTGACCTGCAGCCGGACACTGCTGAGCAGGCCATGTTTGGAATGTTGGT